TACCAAACATTGAAGATCAATAAACATGTAAAAATGCATGTGAATTGATGAAAATCTGTTAAAACCATCTTCATTTAAACAAATGCAGGTTGGTACATTTCAAGTAACCTCTTTTTTAAATAAAGTATTGTTATTAATTTGATGGATTTTATTTAGTAAATTGTTGAATAATATGACGCAGTTGTAATATGGGCGCTTTTTGAAATAGATGGTAGTACGTTTCTGAACTATTTTGAAATTTTGATTTCTTGTTTTGTATTCGTGATAAACATTGATATTTGGAAATGAAGTATTATACTTCTTATCGTAGGTCACGCATTTCAAAATATAAGAGCATACACATTAAGATTTTCTCTTGACTTTCTCTGCAGGATCAAGTGAATCCTCTTAAAAAATTAGTCTGATTTCTTTTATGGCCACAAATACACATAATGTTGTAAGATATGTGGCTATAGGCCAGTGCATAATATACAGGGTGACTTTGAAGTTGAGTCATTAATTTTCAGATAATGATCGTAGAAGGAAGATAAACCAAAATATGTGTGTAAAAATAAAAAAAAAATAAAAAAAAATGTTACCTTGTTTTATAAAGTATCCTCCCGACAAGTATTTCAGTGCGGACCTGTATTTGATCGTGCGGTCTTGGAGCACCGACATGTCACCTGATTCACGAGCCCTTTGTACTACATTAACAAAGGCACGAGGGGTTGGTTGCACTCGATTGGTAAACCGATCCGCATAAACATGTGCCATTTTTTATTTCGTTTGAGCGACGCAACAGACACCACTATTCACTCACGCGTTACCGACTGACACTGACTGTATACAACTGAATAGAATAATTGTAAGAAGATCGTTCCAAATTCTTTCGCTTTTTTGTTTCCGATGCGATGAACCGATAAGGCGGATTATATCCGTTGTTGCCAAACACGAGCACATAATATTATTATTGAGACAGGGCGGTACTCAAACCTCCAAAGGGCTATAACTTTGTTACTTTAATTTTACCAGAAAAATGGTAAAGGAAAAAAACATTTCTTTTGATCAGATCTACTCACTGTTAAAATAAATGACTCAACTTCGATGTCACCCTGTATATTCACTTTGGCTTTTTTCTTTAGATTAGGTATAAGATTTTTTCTACCAGCTTGCGGAAGATACTCAAAAGTGCTACTTTCTGCACGCAGATACGTGTTGAAAGCGAGTACTTTCCGCACGCTGGTAGAAAAAATCTTTTACCTGCAGCAAACTTAAAATTACTTAAATTTTAACCAGCATGGTGAATATGCTCCTGAAAATTTTGGCCTACTATCTAAATTGTGTCGAGTAATTTACAGGTCAGAAATCCAGTTCTATATTAACTATGTGATAGATGTTAAAATTTATTACAATAGTCTTACCTGAATATAGGATTAGCCGATTTCTTCCACTTTTGCTTTTCCAGTGACGCCAAATAAGTTGACTGCTTTCATACAAGATTCAATGGATATATCTTAAGGGTGAATTTCACCATCGTTAATCAGTTTGGACCAATAGGAAAAGATCTTACTGAAATGCAATTTGACTGAAGCTGATAAGGCTCTCTGAATATGATTGATTTCTATTGAGATATTGAACAAAATCGTGAAAAAGCGATTAAATATAAACAAGAGAATAAGTTTCTGATTCCAACATGATGCTTTTGTACAGAGAAAACAGGACAGCTTTCATGTATTTTGATAGATCTTATCAATTTACAAATAATAGGTCGATTATCTCTTTAGCCAATGGGAATGCGGCAAATAATAGGTTGATTTTCCAGCTGTTAAATTTAGCAGAAGGTTTGGAAATCTGTTAATACATGGCAATCTTGAATTTGTCAAGTTCAATATACTGAGTGTTGATATGTTATCATTATAGAGCTACATACCTACCTGTTGAATAGTGCGGATTTGTCTGTATTTTGCAAGAAAATAGAATATAAAATACATTCCAACCAATTCCTCATTTTCCTTTACATCATAATAGTAATCATTTATTAATTTATGGGTTAATGAATTTCTTCAAAGCAATAAAAACATTGTCCTCTCCATCCTAAAACACAGATAATATGTGTAAGACGTGTCAATCCCTACATCTCCGCAAATAATGTCTTTTAAGTCCAAAAATCATAAAAACTAATAATTTTTATTGCTTTTTGACTGGCGGGGATATCTATCTGTCAATCACAGGGTTGCCAAGTCTAACGACAATCACGTCCCGTGGTGGAGGGTGCGAAATGAACCTTTTACATTTGCTGGTTTTGAATTTAAAGTAGGAACACAAACATAGTACTTCTGATAGTTGGAGCTAGACTGCTAACACTTCTTGAAGAATATTTGAAAAGTGTCAACACCATCATGGTCTGTTGTCAAATTGCAAATGAAGTATCTGAAAATTCTTACATACAGTGGACCTTCGTCATAGTTTACTATCCTGATTATGATCATCTTTGGTAGGTGTGTTCTATCATCAAATTGATGAATAAATATAAGAAAGCTCTTATGTACCTACATACAGCGGATTTTTAATGAAAATTTGCTAGGTATCATGATTACAAGCATCTTTGGTCGATTGTTCTATCCGGAATGGGAAAGATCTCCTATTTATGAAAATATTTTTGGTATCATCTAATCGTTGCAATCAGTGCACAAAAACTGTGACATATGATTTATAGCATAACCCGCTGCCCTATTAACACAAATTTAACATACGGGTCGCCTAGCCGTGAGGATGCAGTGGTCGGGATGCAGATTGAAAAAACCTGTCACGCAGTAGCCTTCCACACTTACGTACGTGTCAGGATGGAACGATTGTAGCTCACTCGAAGACCAAGGCTGAAGTGCTTGCCAAGATCTTTGTTGCCAACTAGACCATGGACGCCCCCCAACAAACCTTCTGGTCCGGACTTGATTGCGCCCTAGCGCTCATACGGTTCCGATGGATGGCCGGGTTCTGCCCAACAGTTCATTTAGGCTGGTAGTCCAGATCACCGAGGACTTGATATGGCACGAACACATCTTGTCAGTAGCGGCAGCTGCTTAGAAAAAGCTAAGCCATTAGTTTTGGGCTAAGAAGTACTCCCGCATGACCTTCTCACTCTTTACAGGGCCCATAAAAGGCCTAGCCTTGAGTATTAGTCACACGTTTGGGGTGCTGCCGCCCCGACTATATTGTCTATGCTCGACTCTTCTCTAACAAACAGTCTCGGGACTCGTTCACACCGGCGGCTGTCGGCGATCAAGTTCTCTTCTACCGCTATACGAACGGGTTTAGCGCCTCAGAGTTCTCTTCCATGATACCACCGCGTAATGTGCCTGCCATACAGACCCGGCTGCTTCGGCACAAAAAAAATTACTACAATAATAGCTTCATACTTCCATTGCATGTTGGCTGGGAAGATAGCGCAGCATAATCACTAGTTGCTAAAGCATACAGAAAATGGCTAAGTCTGGCAACAGTGTTGTTTTGTCCGGATGACACGTCTCTCAGTCGCGACTAACTGAATCTCAGCACACTGCAAGTGGGGAAAGTGATTTTTCTCAGGTACCAAAAGGAACTAAGGAACCGTCAAATAGGAATTCCATCTGACACGCATGAAACATCTGTCGAAATCAGGTTTAGGTGTTGCATGAAAATGTTTTATTGATATCGATGAATTTCTAGAACATCCAAAGGTCTGAAAAATCTTTGAAATATTTGAAAATCTCCATAAAATATATAAACGTAGCCAACAGTCAAGCGAGTCAAAACTCTTTCGGAAGCAAGTATCGAGAACCACAAGCTCCAGGGGCGCGGGGGAAAGTAGAAAATCACTGACATGTGAGGCAACTTGAAGTGCGATGGGATTATAACTGAGAAAGCGGCCAAAATAGAAGCTACTGAAATCAGCTTTGTGTAGTCTAAACTGTTAAATATTATCAAGTTACCCAATCGCGTTTTCTTTCAGTGTAGCCAGTGTTGGACTGGTGCATATTCCAAATTCTTATAACAGAACCAATTTATATATTTATGTTTTTTTGGTGCTCATTTTGAACTAGTTTTTCACTCACTGTATAAACATACAGAACTTGAAGCAACTCAGGCTGGTATTGTCTACTGTCTTCTGCTCCGATTTCCATCTTTCAATGCAGCCGTGCTATTTGCTCGTGGCTTACTATTATTTTTTTTCGATGATTCAATATAGTAACACGGAAAAAGACAAAGAAACGAAAAATATGCTTCATTGACAGATTGCTGCACGCGATACGAGATGAGAGTTGTTTATTGTTGTTTGGGAGCAACTTTAGGATCAAAGGTATTAACTAAGGTAGAGTTTTTTAAACACAAAAACTGCGCTAATTTTATCAGAAGAAAACACTATATCTCTGAGCCACAGGAGCAAAGCGAATCTCAGGCTTTCGACTCTCCCATCACTAGTGTGATGAAATGACAATTTGTCCCTCCTTGGACTACTTGAAATAGTGATGTGCTTTCTAGCTAGTTTCATTAAGTTTTGTTCAGTTCTAGGAACTGGTTCGGGAACAAACTACTTTATGCAACAATACAATGGTCTATTCTCCTTCGCCAACGTTACTGTAGTCTATGTTTTGTGGTCACTTGTCACTTGTTGTTTTGAGCTTGTTGTGTTATTTCTGAAAAATGGATTTTCCGTATAAAAACTGCACCTTCCAAGATATTTCTTGTGCAGAATTACATATTACACTGTCGTGTACAGTCTGCACTGACCCCCAAATACGTAGTTATGTTAAGTGTACCATGTACCATCACCGATGGTACGACTGATTATACACTGAAATCAAAACAAAAAATTGCAACTGCAATTGAATGTATGAATGAAATCTTGAACAGTTTCGAACCAGTGGTGTCAAAATGTCGTTGAGGAATTGAAACGCAACACCTAACAAACATTTGAGTGAAAAGGCTTTTTCATGTAAGAATTTGGAAGCGCAAGTTTTCAAAAGTAGGAAAAACTATTAACACCCAGTAGGGGATGTTGAGTTAATATAATCACATATGGATTACAAAAGTTGCAATAAACATGGAGAAACCTTCAGCTAAACTGAAAAAAAAAAATGGATTTTACTCAGCCATCAAGCATTTTTTTTAAATTTGGCTCAGTTTTATATAATTTCATAATATTTAATAAACTGAAAACATTTCAATGACAAGCTGTCACTTCATATTTTTCAGTGTTTTGTTTTGAATACTTTAATGCTATTCGCTGCCAAAAATTTGACGGGTAGATCTTGAGGCTGATTGGACGGACTGTTTAGTACTCGTACCCTATAGGTGCAGAATAATGGTTTGTTAAATTCTGAAATCCACCCTAAGAATATCATTCTTTTAGGCACGAGATGGACACAGGAGTTGGTATGGATGCTCATGCATGACCTGGACTTTGAAGGAGCTAAGGAGGACCTAAGTGAACGAGTTATCTTAGTAGAGTAAGGACTGTGCCATTTCCATTATAACGATTCTCTTTGGGGAAAATAATACATTTCCTGAAAAAGACAATCTGTCTTTTCATTACAGCTGATGGAATATAATGTTGCTGAATCTTGATGCAAAAATTGATGCTATCCAATTGACAGTCCCCCCTCCACTGTTAAATTTTTAATCGTCGAAACGAAGATTAGTCAGCTGTAATGGTGGACTCATACCTAAGCCAGGGTTTTAATTTTGGAAAATTATCGCCTAGCATAGTTGTTTCGTCGAGTGTACTACAAAGATCAATTATATTGCGAGACCATTGTTATTCGCTATTTACACATGCTATCTACGCTATTATATGCAGAATTGTGAAATATACGCTGACAATACCAAACAATGCTATACACTAAAAGCTGATGACACATATTTGGAGGAGAAAAGAATTAACGCGGACTTACATAACTCCTGGTCTATACTAGAGAAGTATTGTTTAATACTGTGCTTTTATTTGACCTTAATCAGGTTCGAAAAACGAGTAAAATATGTTCAGTACTGCTATCAATGATGTTCCAATTGAAAAGACAGAGCAAGGAAGAAGCCTAGGCATGATGTTTGATTCAAAAGTGCGTTTTTGAAATGAGGTTTTAGTTAACTGCAAAATGCGTATTTCTCGCTTAGGATCCTGTCAAAAAATTAACGAATTCTAATACTAAGACCTAAAAGCATCTACCAATGTTGTACATATAATTTGTGTTGAGATTTAGGTAGCTTCAGAAAAGTCTAAATTATACAAAATTGTAGTGCTGTTCTGAGGACTCAAAATTAAGGGCATTAAATAATAAGGCAAAATAAATCTTCCCAACTATACCTAGCAAAACCTAAATTAATAGCAGATGTTCATAATATTAATGTAAGTCTACTTGTCTTATTACCCCTCCTACTAAACAACATAGGAAGGAGTTTCAGTTATCAAGCTGCAAAAAATAGAACAGTATACCGCATAGCTTTATCGTAGTGGATGAATTAAGAATAGCCTGAAATCAGCATCAGTGAAAAATTCTTCAACCTCAGTTTGATATCAGCTAGCACCTCTTATCAAAATAATGAACGTTTCTTTGCCGTTATTTCTAATCACAACATATTTTTGCATTTAATTTATGCATCCAGTACCTGTAATCAAGATTATTAATCTTAGATTGATTCAATAAAGACAGCTATAATTATTTGTCTATTTACGCAATATATGAAGCAGAGGTTCGATTCAGAGGAAACATTCTGTTCCTGCAAATTCAGGGAAAACCAAATTTGTCCGACGGCTTGTTAGAAAATGATAGAAGCCGGCTGAAGAGCGAAGGTCATAACTTCATTCCTTAGCAACGGTAACGCAGAACGACGTGTAATTCTTTTTTGCACAGGCTTCTACAAAAGGTTAGGTTACTCAAATCCAGAAAGGAGGTCTGTTCGAAAATGTAATTTATTATTCTGCTTTAACTTTGATTAGAACAATCAATTTCAATTTTGATTGAGTGCTGATCAAAATCGCTCATCTATGATCATGAAGGTGGAAACCTTGCCTTGGAATGTACGAGATGCAGTGTTGCCAAGTGAACCAATGATGCAATGTTGCAGAATCTGTGGCCAACCTGTCCTCGACCGATCCGGGATCGATCCTAAACAGATTCGACACAATTCACAAATCAAAGATGTGTACGCTCAAAATGAAACCATTATTTGGGCGAGACAATGAACTCATGCATATAAGTTTTGTAACATGTTGGCAACGCGGCAAATTGTCGCGTCAGCTGCTAGTCAACGCCGTGAAGAGCTTCCCTGTTCAGCCCGTTTCTATCTCTTTCTAACTTATTTGTCTATATACACTTTGACCTTAAGCCTTCAGACAAATTTGGTTCGCAATGTATATAATTTCATTATATCAAGTGCCAAATATTCTTTTAAGGTCAGATAGACTAGAAGATAGCCATAAGTATCAGTTAGAACGGTTTCGTGACACATTGGGACTGTTACTCAAAAAGTACAAGGAAGGACCGATTGCTGTGAAAACTCATTTGCCTTGGGTGATGTTGCCTAAACAAATACAAGAGTTTAAGAAAAGGCCAAAAGTATATACCGTTCTTGTATCTGGATGAATGTACTCACAGTTTCATTCATTTCAGATCATATATCTCGTAAGAAATCCCAAGTCTTTGGTTTGTTCGTTAGTGCATTGGAAAAATCTGATGCATGGAAAAGTTGAACCAGTGGAAGGTGTAGCGGATAGATTCATGGACGGCACAGGTAAATACTGAATTGATTTCGAATCCTCTTTTCTGGTTATGTTTCTCTCATAGGGAGCGGCAACTGTTAGGGAAACAAACCCCAAACGAGTTGTTACAGGGGGTGGGTGTTTGTAAATTTTTGGCATCAAAAATACAAATTCTATTACCATTCGGATCCCGGCAATACTACGCATCTGCCAGGAATAACAGTCATACACTGAAACGTTGTAGATAAGTTATCAATTGAGACTCAGAGAAAGACGCTCTATTATTGAGAAGTGTCTGATTCAAGTAATGTTCCACAAACAGAGCAATAGTCACACATATTGTAGTTACATTGGCCATGGAAGCGGATATGTGACATGCCGAGTTTTTCTAGTTTGAGATATAGAGCTTTATGATATAATTTTTGCTAAGCATATTCATAAAACTCTACAGTGCGTCCAAGATAAGGATCCTATGTATGAGGATCTCAGTACCTGTCGGAGATACAGCTTAGGTTAAATTAGATAAAAGCTGCGTTTTTTTGGGGGCGTATTAACATATCGTTGAGAAACTTGCAAAAATTTCATGGCCTATTGAGGTATTTGGGCAAAACTTATACCTTCCGTTGGTAGTATAGAGTCAACTTACTTGACAGCATTTCTTCTCAAACGATTTTATAATGATATTATTTTACAGAAGTATACCATCCTTACTGGCAGCACGTGCTCCAGTTTTGGCAACATCGCCATGAGCCCAACATCATGATTTTGAGATATGAAGAGATGGTGAAGGATCCGCCTGCTATGATAAAACGAGTAGCAGAGTTTTTGGGAAAGAAACTCACTGCAGAGCAACTTACGAAGCTAGCAGACCACGTGAGTGTTGACTCTATGAAGAAAAACCGAGCTGTCAATAATGAACCCATGATTGAAAGGAGACGTGCTGCTTTCGGATTGGGAAAGACAAATGAAAATCACATTAGGAAAGGAAAAGCTGACAGTTATAAAGAGGAAATGCTACCAGAGTTGATTGTAAAGATGGACAAGTGGATTGAAGAGAATACGAAAGATACCGAATTTAATGTTTTGTAGTTTTCGTGTGATAAATGTAAAGCTGTTAAACAACTATTAAATGACCACAAATGTTATTCCCGCCTCTTCGTCAAAAGAACACCCATAAAAACTATTTTCGATTTTCTTGCAGGAGTCGACTGACCGATGTCTCTAATAGATGGTACTGCAAACTTTTAGGCTTGTCGTACACCACTCATCATTTACAGTGACTAATTTCCCAATGAGGTGTTCAAACATAGAACGAAGACTCAATGGATGTACTCTAATAGTTGTCGAAATTCCGATTCGTTTCGTAAATATAATGCGCTGAAGAACACCACTGGAATACGGTTTTTCTTCGTTTTTTTCAACAATTCTGAAAACTTCAACAAAATTTTGACGCCTCGCATGATGAAGTCCGAGGAAAATAACACATTTGGTTCGCCAGGGACGTGCAGGTATTATCCAAATGCAATATTACTAATTTTGTGACACCCTGTATAGAAATGTCTCAAAGCATTTGTGGAAAACATAATCCTATTTCCGAGAACATATATGTTTTTACTTGACGTCGATAAGGTGAATCGTTTTTGAGAAAAACAGTTTTGTTTCAATACTGCTTCCGTTAATTTTACATTGCAGCCAATTAAGAAAAATGACGTCAAGTAGATTGACTCTCTACTTCGTCTGCAACGCTATTATCAATTCATGAAGGATTATGTTCGGCGCAAGTTAGCACTTCCGAGAAAAAAGATGGATCAAATCAGTTAAACAGGCTCATCCAATTAAAATTTGCATATTCAGCATGTATTTGTTGGGCTGCTTAGAGCCCCCCATAAGAATTCTATATGTTAATGCAACATATAAAGTTATTGATAAATGACCTTCCCATTCTCCCTGAGAGAAGCTCCTGCGGGCGCGCATGATTATTGCCAAATCGCGCATGGATGACGATGTTGACTTTCACATTACAGAACACACAGGCCACAGCAGTGCTGTATGCCGCACGTAGTGGCGTTGGGGATATTTTAAAGTTTTAAGGGTAAATGTAGTGAATATATCCCGGTAGATGCGCAGTATTGGAGGCATATAACTACACCACCACAATTTTCGGTTTTTAATCCCTACAGAAATTTTTCCGAAAATGATTACTAGCGATTTTGAGCGAACTTGTGCGGTTTTTATTGTCAATCTTTTTCATGAAAATTAAAATTGTAATTAGGTATATTTCAATAATAAAATAACAAAAGCAGTCTCACCACTTAATTTCCAGACGTCGTATGTATGAAGGTCAAACAGTTCAGAATTCGCTATTCTACTCACAAGCTGCGAAATTAATGTTTCCTCTCTATAATTCCAGCAATTCCACGTATTCGCATTCCCACACACGGACTGACACGTGACTACAAATAGGCCACCTTCTACACGAGCGCAGAGCGTTCGAAAAGTTAGTTTGTAACTCAGCCTCCATCCAGAGTACACGTCGTATCGCTGATTTCCATGCTTTATGCTGAAATTGTTGTTCTCTAAATAATAGTCTGGCGGAACGAGATTGCCGATATAACTCAGAAATTACGGACTCACTGAATAGATATAACGCTCAGCGGCTCAACTGCCGGAAATTTTGGATAAAGCAGCAGGACACATTGCAAATGGTTTAATACTGAAGAGAGTACTAAAGGTACACAGGTCCGCAAGGTAGCTTCAGGTGAGGAGCTGGTAATGATTTTTCATACCGATGCAGGCGTGTAGGCAGTAGACTAAATAATAGGGTAACGCGGCTGCTAGAAGGAGTTTAAAGATACTTTGTGAATCTGATCTTTCAACTGCCTAAGATAAGTAAAACTGGGAAAAGCCTCCTTCTTTCAATTTAACTTTGGATCCACATATCTTATATACAGAATGCTGATTGTTGTCTTTATTTTGACACCTTCCATAAGAATCATTCAGATAACTAACTGTAGAAACACCAACATCTCTACTAATTTGGTTTTTGAATCTTGGCTGCATTTACTAACACTTATTAGCTGGATCTTATCGCTTAGAAATTTAGAATTATTGGAAATAGAAAGGATGACACGGATTCTACCTTCTCGCCAATGAATCTCGTATTCGTATTTTAACTATAATCTATTTTCAAATCACAAAATACTGTTTAGTTAAGCAAAAATAAAAAAAATAAGCTCATTGTTTACTTATTAATAATTTAAACTCATCTACCCATCGTTTTCGCTCCATATACCTGTATCTATGCATCTCGCAAGAGATGGCGCCACTAAGGTAGGTCAATCTTTTTACATCACTCTTTCCTTCTAAGAGATATATTTTTTCATTCTTAAAATACCGATTCTCGGGTACTAATTTGAACTAGCGACGATTTTTTTTGTTCCTTCCCATGCAACACTTTGTTGTTTCCCTTCGTTGGAATTCTACTTTGCCGTATTCCATTCAAATTCCATTTTCCTCCCAACAATACGCTTCCAACTGGATTACAGAATTTTTCATCTTGCGGCGTGTCTAGCCGCCTAATAAATCTTTCCTGTAATTCTATTTTCCGCGCCAATAGGCGTGGAAGTACTATAATCGCTATTCTGAGATATTGCGTTTTGCGGATTTTCATGGATCTTACGAAATTACTTCTAGAATAAACCTCGCAGTATCTTCTCGCTAAACAAAGGTATGCGTCACTTGCTGCAGAATTCAAGACTGCTAGATCAAATACTGGAAGTGAGGACATCGGTCAGCCGGCATCCTGTGAAAAAATTTTTGAAGTGGCTCACCAGCTCTTAAGCTTAAGTCTAACAATAAATATATTAATGAGTTTATTTCCAACATTTAGATGACCCCCTTCTGTGCAAACCTCGTTTGACCACTATTACTGATGACTTTCGATTCTTGTTGATATGTTTATATAAAGTATAGACTGCTTGCAAATATATTTTGGATACAAACAGGAAAAAAATCACTAGATTTGGAGAAAAATCATCACAGCTGGCAACCCTGTTCAATTTGTAAACGTATCGATGATGGCGTCGAATAAGAGTGTTGCGTAAGTCCGGTTGCCTACACGTTTAGTTTGACGCAAATATAAATAAATAGTGATTCTTAGTTTTTCGGCTTGATAGCACTGCATAATCGTTGGTGCATTACTGGAAATTGAGCCTAATGTCTTTTATGATTAAGATAGTTAATTGAAAATTCAGACACTCGGATAGAAATATTAGAAGAAGCATTGTTGCGCGCGGCTTTAACGCTGTGAGAAAATTTGATAGAAATGCTTTTTGATGGACAAAATCAGAGAAAGGCAGCTTCATTTGATTGAAAGGAGATGGTAAACAGTAAGAATCATAATTACCAATCCTCTCTTCACCTATCTACTATCATATATACTACTTCATGTTTTTAACACTTTTTGTTTGTAACTTAGCATGTTGGTATTGTATTAGTTTAGTCATGTACATTGTATTTGATTTTGAAACTGTTGTATTTAATCCTTTCGATTTGCGAAACAGCTCTTGATTCTGGAGAAGCAGGCCCCTGAACGAGAGTCGTTGGAGACCACTTTCTCTTAAATAATGCTCACATATTGTAGCTTAAGTGTTAAGATCTCGTAACTCCAAGAATGGCACCATCAAGACATGCATGCTCTTTAATAGGGAGATCAAAAATCCACCGTATTTTTTCTCTTTAAGGTATTCGTCAGTTTTGAATTACGTGGTGTTAGAACCTAGGCGACGATATATTCCAACGATAACGATTAACCCATTTAGTTCGCCAGAGACGGGCTAGCCATAAACGCAACATACGGGTATTGTTAGTTTTTTACACCTTTGTATAATAATTACTTAAGAATAATATTTTTGGAAATTGGTACCTATGCTCTAAAATTGTGAATGAATATCGGCTGTGGTTGGCAAAATGGTAGGGAGTGCAGAAAATTCCGTTGCCGATTCCGACTCTTATTGAAAACTGTGTTGCCGAAATGTAAGCCAACATCAAACAGCTCTAACATATACTTGCTACAGTACCATTCAGTGTCGCGACAACAGAGACGTCCTTTTCCACCTTCAGAAGGCTCAAGCCTCTATGGCAGATTGCCTAACTGGACTGGCACTTTTAGAAATACAGGATGCGGCAGATAGGACGGACGTTTTTGGGATGGGTAGTACTCTCCGCCTCCGTCTCGTGAGATCCTAGCATTATTGTACCAGTTGTAGTTATGGAGCCTTGGACGGTGGAGCACCTCATTTTGTTTATGAGTGACGAAGCCCACTTTCACCTAAACAAAATGGTTAACCAGCAGAATTGTCGTTATTGGGCTAATGAAAATCCGCAACACTTACACGAAAAACCGCACAGCCCAAAAGTAACGGTTTGGTGCGCCGTATCGCAAACTTGCATTATTGGCCCTTACTTCTTCGAAGACGGTAATGGTCGTGATGTTATCGTGAACTCAGAGCGCTACGTCGACATGATCACCAACTTCTTTCTCCCTGAATTACGATGGCGACGTATTCCAATCCGACGTGTGTGGTTCCAGCAGGATGGGGCGACCGCCCACAGAGCCCGAGCATCCATGGACGTTATTCGCCCTCTCTTCCCTGGTCGCCTTATTTCCAGGTTTGGCGATGTTCATTGGCCTTCTCGGTTCCCAGATTTATCCATATGCAATTTTTTCTTATGGGGATACCTCAAGGCTAGAGTATACGCGAACAAGCCCCGAACTCTGGACGAATTGAAGGGCGAAATTCGCGTGGAAGTCGCCCAAGTTGAGAGAGTCTACGCGAACTTCCAAGAACGCCTCCAGCACTGCATCAACGATTTCGGCCACCACATGCCTGATGTGATTCATCAATAAATTTGTTTTCGAGTAAAAATTATCTACTTTATGATTTTTTTAAAACCGTCCATCCTCTCTGCCGCACCCTGTATATGTCCATAAAGATGTACACGTTGATGCGGAAGAAGCTAAAAATCGATATGCAAGAAGACATGCAAGAATTAATTTTATTCAACAATAAAAACATTCATTTGAAATTAGATTTACTGTTTAAATCAAATTTAGGTCACACCATCCCCGAGACAAATGTCATGAACATGAATCCTGTAACCCTCCCCTGGCATAAATGCTGAACCCGCCCTTGTCTTGGAGTCCAAAAGATATTAAGTAAAAAGGGAAGAAAAGAAGAAAAGAAGGAAGGACGAGAAGAAGAAAAGGAGAAGAAGGGAAAAGAAGAAAAGAATAAAAGAAAAAAAGAAAAGAAGAAAAGTAGGAAAGAACAAATAGAAAAAACATTAAAAGCAGAAAAGAATAAAAGAAGAAAAGAAGAAAAGAGGAAAAGCAGGAAAGAAGAAAAGAAGTAAAGAAGAAAAGAAGAAAATAAGAAAAGAAGAAAAGAAGAAGAGAAGAAAAAAGAAAAGAAGAAAAGAAGAAAAGAAAAACAGAAGACAAGGAGAAAAAAGAAAAGAAGAAAGAAGAAAAGAAGAAAAGAAGAAAGAAGAAAAGAAGAAAAGAAGAAAACGAGAAAAGGTGAATAAAGGAAAAAAGAAAACGAGAAAAGGAGAAAAAAGGAAAAGAAGAAAAGGAGAAAGCAAGAAAAGAAGAAAACAAGAAAAGAGGAAAAGACGAAA